AAAAAAAAAAAAAAAAAAAAGACCACCCTCTTGCATCATTCAAAACCTAGTCTTCGTAACATTTGCTTTCTGAACCAGTCCTCATTACCACTGTGTCAAAGGACTTTCCATTATGACCTGTAATTTGACACAAAATCATTTTATTGTGTTATAGTATCTAAGGAGATTAGATAGTGCCAACGTCTGTGTGTAATGGGTCATGGTCACAGAGGCTAAGAGACTCTCAGGCAGTTTGATTACAGCTATTATATGACCTGATTTTAGAAGGAATTTAACCTTAACCTAAGTTTAATTATAATTTTCTAGGACAGCCTTCGTTTTTAGAAACCAAAACCATCTGGAAAACATCCAGATGTGATAAATTATAACACCTGCACACTTACTGAACTAACTTGGAATTTCAGGGGTAGACTGTCAGTAGGTCAAGGATGAGAGAGAAATCTTTTCCCAGAATGCTTTTTCTCCCTAAATCATGGTTTCATCAGGCCCCTGATTCTGACTGGGACCTTTTGGCATCAGTGAAACATATCCCTGGTTTCATAAACACTGTGATATTGTTTTTGAGCTTCTATCATTTGTAGTCCCTGGGTACGCTGGTTACCTGTTACTTTGCTTCAACTTAAGGCTTTATCTGTAGTTTATCAGATAAACTAGTGTGATTTGAAGGAAAATAGACAACCTAAAAGGAGCTTATTTGGGCATTACATCAAATGGACAGGGCACCCACCAGCTGAGCCAAGAGGTTCACTCTGTACTAGTTTCCACAGTTCTACAGTTTACAGTGGATCCATCATATCAGGAAAAGGGAAAAAGGGCATTGGGCTGTCTGCAAAGAACTGGAGTCCCTAAGAAGCGCATCCAAGGCCCTCATTTATTCAGGGATCTGTCCATCTGTGAGTGGAGGAACCTGCTAAGACTTTTCACCTATCTCCCAGATTCTCACCGTACAGTGCCTCAGAGGGATTGACCTTCTTGTGTGCTAGTACTTAGCTTCAGGGTAGGTGTGAGAAGAGGTGGCAAGAGAAGGGCTGGTTGGTTGATGTTGGCCTGGAGAAAAAAGATATTTTAATCCACTCCTCATTTAAGGTCTAGAATCCTGGTGTGGTGCTGTAGGATAAGCTCTGGACCCCAAGGTTGGTGGTCCCAATTCACCAACCACTACTCAGAAACCAACTCAAAGGCTCTTAGCAACAACTATTAACAACATGCTTGTGGCTATGATCCCATTTGGGAATGGGTGGTCTTTGTTGTGTTAATGAGACAGGATTATTGTAGGGTGGTGTTAGTCACTTAAGCAAGTTAGAGAAACTGAGATGGAAGATTGATGTCAAGACATCTGGAGATCTCCAAGGAATCAGGAAGCAAGCTGAAGAGACAGGGACCTTCCCCAAGAGCCAGCACCCTGAATTTTGGACTTTAAGCTTCCTAAACTAGGGTGCTAAGTAGTGTGGCTCTGTGGGTTAATGCGCTGGATTGCAAAGCCATTATGAACTGCAAGGTTGGCAGTTCAAGCTCACCAGCCGCTTCTCAAAAACCCTACACAGGGTGGCTGTGGGTCAGAACTGACTCAACAGCACTCGAGAACAACAAACTGAGAGAAGATACGTTTCTGCTTGTTAGAGCCAACCACTTACGATATTTCTTTTATAGCACCACTAGATAATGACAGAAAAGACAATAGGGCTCTGATAACCCATGGCATTTTTACCAGGAAGACTTTTTTTTTTCTTCTAATAAAATGGTATTGAGTACAGACAGAGAGCTTAATGTGGAGCAGGAGCAGGCCAGAACTTCTGTCTGCTGAAATAAGAAAGCACACGCAAAGAACGCCACTCCTCCTACCCATAGCACAGCTTGCTACAGGAACTCAGCAACTTTGCCGTCTTTCCAAGATGTGTTTGTGCATATTCTACACCTTTTACAAATTTATCTACCCATCTGATGGATGTAATAGTAAGTAATAGGAAGGGAACTTTGAATCAAACCTCATTACCTTGGACTAATTGGGAAGAAGATTAGCCTGAATTGAGAAGTGAATTCATAAGGCATTTAAAGTTATTTATATACAAAACATACACATATATTCACATAAACCAAAGGAAAAAAAAAAAAGCAACAACATGAACAAACAAACCCACTGCCACCAAGTTGGTTCTGACCCTTAGCAACCCTGTATAGGGTTTTTAAGGAGCGGCCGGTGAGCTTGAACCGCCAAACCTGTGGTTCAAATGACTTTGCAGTCCAGAGTACTAACCCATAGTGCCACACCAGGACCCACTCACTCTCTTTCTCGATCTCTATATATGTAATGTACTGGAACTCAAGGTCAGTTTGAATCACAAGGTCAGCAGTTCAAACCCACCAGCTGCTGCTCAGAAACTCTATATAGGGTTGCTATGAGTCAGAGCTGACTGAAAGACACTTAACAACAACAGGAATACGTGTGTGTGTGTGTGTGTGTGTGTGTGTGTATTTAGTGTCAGTGAAAGATCATTTGGATTAGCTACAGTGGAAGGCATTTAGGAGACCTGGTTCTAGCAGTCTAACTCATTGAACCACCTGGATAAGGAATTCTCAGCCTCAGAATGATTTGCACTTATTGTGGGGGCTGCCGTGTGCACTGTGGAGTTTTTAGCAGCATCCTGGACCTGCAGCACTCCCATCCATGACAACTCAGTCTGTAGACATTGCTTAGCTAAGAACCACCATTCTAGGACAAGTCCAGTCCTTCCCCAGGCCTTGGAGTCCTCAGCAGTAAATTTAGTTAGCCTGAAGGAGAGTCTTTAATCCCCCTTCTTAACTTTATCCTAAATTTTGGATTACCCAATAAGCAGTATAGGCACAGGATTACTGTGCTTGCTTACTAATCTATACTGAACAATTTGATGTTTTCCCCCACATCAAAGATTCTGTGTCTAGGCTGGCATCTCTCGCCCAATCCGACAGTACCTTCGTACAGACTCAATGCCTGGATTTAAATGTAGGGGGAGTCCTGGTGTGGCGCTATAGGATAAGCACTTGACCTCAAGGTCAGTTTGAACCACAAGGTCATTGGCTGTTCCTTGGAAACCCTATACAGGGCCATGATGAGTCAGAACAGACTCGATGGCACTTAACAGCAACATACTAGAGATGTGGCACTGGTATGGCTCTGTGGGATAAAACACCAAATTACAAGATCAGTTTGAACCACAAGGTCAGCAGTTCAAACCCACCAGCTCATTAGAAACCCCATACAGGGTCGCTATGAGTTGGAACCAACTCAATAGCACTTAACAACAGCAAAAACAACATAACACTCAGTAAACATATCTGTGGTGAAAAACATGGGAAATTATCCACTACAGATAAGCACAAGTAAGCCATTGATTACCTTCTTGGGTAATCCTACTTCCAAATCTAACACTCCTGGTATGACCACCAACAAGCCTGTGGAGTCTTGCAGTGTCGGTTGATATAAACAGGTATATGTTGTTGTTGTTGTTAAGTGTTGTCAAGTATATTCTGACACATAGCGACCCTGTATAGGGTTTCCGAGGAGCAGCTGGTGAGCTTGAACGGCCAACCTTGTGGTTCAAACTGATTTTGCAGCCCAGCACATTAACCCACAGCACCACACAAGGATTTAAATCGCCATCTATATACACAGGTATATAGATATTTACTCTTCTTAAGACAGCTAAACCTTTACACTCTTATACTAGCCATTTGCTTATATAACCTTCCTGTGTCCATAACCAAATGGATGACATTTTAGTAAGATCCCCAGACAGACTCAACTTTGCTTTCATTTTTTGCTAACCTTTCCTTACATAGCTTGGTGTGGTGCTGTGGGTTAATGCGCCAGACTGCAAAGCTGTCTGAACTGTAAGGACGGTGGTTCAAGCTCACCAGCTGCTCTTTGAAAACCAACTCAATGGCACTTAACAACAACAACATTCACCGAGGAGAATTTTGAAAATGATCTGACTGAAGTACTTGCTTTTCTTTCCCATAGGAATTCTGACACTAAAGAGAGCAAATGAACTTCTGAGCACGGGTGTGCCAGGCAGTTTTCTGATCCGAGTTAGTGAAAAGATCAGAGGCTACGTCCTATCCTATCTGTCCGAAGATGGCTGTAAACATTTCATCATCGATGCCTCTGCGGACTCTTACAGTTTTCTGGGTGTTGACCAGCTGCAGCATGCCACCTTAGCGGATCTGGTGGACTATCACAAGGTAAAACAATGTATTCATTTGTTGTGTGAATTACTGTTCTACAGCAGCTGTAACAATGAAAGGCAATTCTAGCAAAAAAGATTGAGACAAATTAATTGTGGGATTCGTTATTTGATAATTCTTTCTGATAATCAGAATTCTTCATTGCAATTCTCACCATAGGACTTAGTTCCTCCTCAAATATTTAGGGAAACCTGACTAAAATACTAGACTACAGGATGTGCTTAAGGAAAAAAAAAATCTGTACACACAGCAATCATTTTGACCGCAGTCTTAAACTACAACTTGAGTCCAGGAGGGTTCAGATGTCCATGGGAGTTAGGGAGTGAGAAAAATCGCTTTTAAAATGATCAGACCCCAATAAAGCTTGGTATAAATTCAGGGTGTGGAAGAAGTAACGTTCTCTAGGGGTGGGTGGGGATGTTACTGTTACTTATACTATGTCAACAACCTGCCCAGTGCACACCCTGCTGACACTGTGCCTTGTGGTTAACAGGTGGAGCCCATCACTTCCCTGGGAAAAGAGCTCCTCCTCCACCCCTGTGGGCAGCGGGAGCAGTTGCCTGACTACCTGGAACTCTTTGACTGATGGACCCACGGATGTCATCCTGCACCTTCCCGCTGGGCTGTCCTCTGGACAAACACCACTTAAAGGGATATTTGTGTATAAAGCCAAAGTCGCCCAGCAGGAGAGCCAATACTGATCAACTCAAAGTCTCTTTGGAGTTCTTTTTTGAGATCTCTCTTCTGCCCAAGTTCTGGGGTTTAATGTTAAGTGAAAGTTACCTCTGCATCCTATGTACTCCAAAAGCAGGAGAAAACTCCCAATTTCAGCTAACTCGCTAACATGAAGGATAAACCGCAATGATGAATACAAGACAAAAGAAACAAAGAGGAAATTGTAGCCTGTTAGGAATGAAGGTCCTTCAAGTATCTCAATTAAGTAGCTTGTCAGAACCTTTTTCTGACCTCTACATTCTCTCTTTGCATCATTCCCAAAGGTCTCAGGGTCCTGTTTATATAAAGTTGGGTGTTGCCTTTGGTCTGCTGGCAAAAGAGCCTTCCCGGATGGTTGAGATGGTCCACAAGGCTCACAGACTCCAGTCACTATGGATGTTGGAGCCACTTGTGTGCATAGAAAGACACAAGTTGCACATGCAGATTTAACAGGAAGTTTTAAAATGTGGGCAAGAGGCCTGTGGGAAGTCAGCAAGCTCTCCCCCGAGTGTGTTTCTGGAGAAGGGGTAACACTTGTCCAGCCTATTTGGTTCTCTGTCTAGGTGTGCATCAAGGAGGGTAAAGTCCACGCACACACACGTAAGGTCTTCAGTATTAGTGCCGCAGAGACCAGAACAGGCTCCTCAAATTGTTTGGGTACCACTTTACAGAATGATGGGAACGGATGTGTATTAGGAATACATTTCTTGACATGCAGTTCTCCCTACTCAAAATGAAGTTAAAAAGGGAGGTGAAAGTAACCTGCCAGCTAACTGTTTAACTCTAGGACATATTCATGTTCATTCAGGAACCCTATGTCCCAGTCACACATCACCTCCTCCAGCCACTCTTGGCCAGCCCTGCTCAGGAGTGATGGTCACTGGGTAGTGACCCAGGGGGCACTGAGACACTCCGGATCATCTTTTTTCAGGGAAGATGAAGATTTATGTGTGCTTCAGGCCTAACTCCCTGAGTCAGCATTCTTTAAAAGTGCCTCTTAAAGACAGAAGAAAGATGGATCAGTCTGTTCATGTGGTGCTTGGTTGTGTGAAATACTCATTGGCAATGTATGCTGTCATCCAAGAAGAGGATGTTGTGTATATTTTAATGAGAAAGCTTTTAAATACCAAGCATTCATTGTTAAGTGTTCCTTGACATTTCCCATGTGGTTTATATTGTTAAACAATGACAGCAAGTATCTGTTTCTTAGCTTCTGTTTCTAACTGTGATTCAACAATCATGGCATACTATGGAATAGCACCGGCTGAAAGTCAGAAAGTTGGATCTTCTTCCCACCTTTAGCTATGTGATCTCAGACTGCTCACTTTACCTCTCTGAGCATAACTTTTCTCATCTGCAAAAATAAGGCATTTTAACCAGGTGATCTTTATTAAATTCCCTCACAGCTTTAAAAACGTATGGCTCTGGTTCCATTGCTTTCTAGAATTAACAGGAAAGTATGCTACAGTCACTAATAATTTTGAATGCATAAAATGTTCAGACATCACCCTCTGCCTAAATTATTTAAGAGGAAGTATGGAATCCTGGTGTGGTGTTGCAGGATAATGCACTAGACCTCAAGGTGGGTTAGAACCCCAAGGTCAGTGATTCAAACCCACCAGCTGCTTCTCCGAAACCCTATACAGGGTTGCTATGAGTCAGAACTGACTCAACAGTACTTAACAACAACATGGAGTCCTGGTGTGGTACTGTAGGGTAAGAACTGGACTGCTAACCTCTAGGTTGGCAGTTTATACCTGCCAGTTACTCCTCAGGAACCCTACACAGGGTTGCTATGTGTCGGAACTGACTCGACAGCACTTCACAACAACATGGTCCTCCTATTCAGGCATAAATACACTAAGAGATAGCTACCAAAGATTTAGAAAATAGGAAATAACCATTTGAATTAACCTAATATGGCAACCAAAACCAAACCTAACTTACTGCCATCAAGTTGATTGTGACTCACAGCAAACTCTACGAAGGGTTTCTGCATCTGTAAGTATGGGAGCTGAAAGCCTCATCTGGCTCACACAAAGCGACTGGTGGGTTCGAACTCTTGACTTTGCAGTTAGCAGTCCAGTGATTATCCTACAGTGCCACCAGGGCTCCTTACACTGGCTAAAGAGGGGAGCATATTTGAATTCTGTACTATTTTGTTCTGTTATCAACATTCAGAGGAATAAACATCTAACATTTGATGAAATGATGACCAAGAATATTTGAAGCTCTTTTTTCTTATGTTCTCAGGAAGGGAAAATGGTTTCCAGAATCCAGAAATTGATTACAACTAACAGGGGTTGATGAGCTCCAGATGCTCATCCCAGCTGCGCTTTTATCTTGGCTTTGCCTGTGTCTGACCCTGATTCCAGTCTAAAGTGAGGATGTCCAAACCTTTCTTCTGTCATCTCAGCAAGTTCCTTTCCTACTCAAGGTTTCCTGGTCTGGGATGTTACCTCTGGTTTTTCTTACTGATTAGGTTCCCAAGACCAGGGACTCTCATCTGCCTCTTGGAGATTGTACCCACCTGTCTCTCATCACCCATAATGGTTCTCTTCTCTCAGTTCCCTCTTGGTTTTTCCCTTCCTTCAGTCATCACACGATTTCTGGCTGTTTCCTTCATATTGGTAGACCCTTTCATTCCCACCCAACCCCATCAGGTCCCCCACCTGTAAGCCTCCTGGTACTACTGCAATGGACTGCATACAAGCATTATTTTGTTTCTCTCTTTCAGTGCCTCCATCAGTGTTTAGCTCTGTAAGTGTTACTGAGAGGTTCAAAACGTACACCAAGAAGAGGAAAAAACACTGGGATAATAAGGATTTAAAAATAATAATAAAGAAAGGCGGGGTAAGGGAAGAACTTGAAGCTGGGCAGACCACCAAAAATATTGTAGGGACATTTGTACCTAAAATTGCCCCTCCAAGCCAAAGTCAACACAAGCCCAAACATGTTTTTACCACCCTCACACATACAGACCAAGGGGTTCCTGGCATTTGGTGCATAAATACAACTGATTTATAGGCTATGCTTGCTTTTGCGTTCATTTTGTCAGGAAGCAGGTAAGCTCTTTGTTTCAGGTTGCATAACTACATAGGTCTTTTTTAGCACACAAGTTTTCTTCAATTGTATCTCAGAGTGATAGTTCTGTTTGAATTGTGATTTTTCTCTTCCTCACTTGACTGTCTTTTGCCTTCCATTTTGTGATTCCCATCATTGTTTTCATCTTTCCATCTTTTCCCTTGCATTTTAGGAGATCTTTTCATCTTTGCCCATCCCACATCACTGATTCAAGTGTTTGCAGTGTAAATTTTGCTCTTCACTGACTCCACTGGGGGACTTAAATCTTATTATTACATGTCCTGTTTGCTGCCTATTGCCACCTCAGATTGAAAATGATCAGGAGGCTTAAATATAAAAAGTACCTTCTACTTAAAGTATAAGGAGCTCTGGTAGCATAATGGTTACAAATCGGGCTGCTAACCTGAGGGTCAGCAGTTCGAAACTACCAGCTGTTCCATGGGACAAAGATGAGCTTTCTGTTCCCATAAAGATTTACAGCCTCAGAAACCCAATGCAGAATTGCACCTAATAACAATAACAGAGAGGACACTTTCTAAACACCTGATTCAGACACCCCCTAAGTTAGCAGTAACCAATCTTTATACAAAATGATTCAGACCCTGTGGGATTTCTAACCACAAACTCCTAAGTATGACCAGAAGACTTGTTACTAGCCCAGCTCCCTCTGGGGCTGACCCTGCCTCTCTCCTGGACAATTCAGGCAGTGCCAATTCCAGCCAGGTGCCAATCCCCTGGTGCCCATATCAGTCTGAATCAGCTTTTATTTTTATTCAACTGAAAGGAATTCATTCATGGAGTCTTCTCAACAATTGAGTCAATATCCTGGTAACTGTTCACAGTGCTTTGCCTCCACAACCTAGCAAAATGGTGAGAACCTCATGTTTTGTGGGTGGTCTCTCAATGGTTTACAGCGCTCACTGGACTTCGAGTCATAAGGTCAACAGTTCAAACCCACTAGCTACTCCTCAGAAACCCTAATACAGGATTGCTATGAATCGGAACCGACCCGATAGCACTTAACAACAGAGAAGGCTTACCAGCCAGTCCATTCCCAACCACTGTTTACAGTTCTCTACTTTTTAAGTGACTCTATTCAAGGTTAATAACGAGAACAAGCTAAAGAAATGTTTCCTTCTGCGTTTGAGTTTCATTTGAAGGTTGGTTTGCGTATCGCTTTTTAGCTTTCTAAATGGGTGATGTTTATTGTACATTTAGAACTGTGGGGGAATAATGACTAAGATAGAGGGAGTTGTCTGGCAGTACTGTGCTTACCTGATTCCAAGTTACAGTGAATCCCAGGTTGATGAAGAGTAAATCCAATTCACCAATGGTCAGTCCTCCCCTTTACCTGGGTGTTTGCTTGTAAAAAGCAAGCCACTTGCCCAAGAGCTGACTGCTGAGAGAACCATTTGTAAGTGTTGGGCAGTGGCTGCTGAAGTAGCGGGGCGCTCCCTTAATCTCAGGGGTGACTATAAGGCCTGAAGACAGCAGCAGCCCAGCTTCTCTTCCGGGATAAGGCCCACCCTTCCCAGACTGAGACCTCCACAGTTCACCCTCACTTGCCCCTCTGCTCTGAGCCTCTTCCTGTCCTCTTGCTAGATTATATCGGACACGGGTAACTACTCTGGAGGGTGCATTCAAAGGGATTAGTAACGTGAAGCAAGTTTGAGAGGCACCTCTGCTGACAGGAGAGAACATAGTCTCTTGGTTGAAAAAAAAAGAAAAACCCAAACCAATACACTGGCCCAGCCCCCACCATTTTTGTCAGTGACGGCCAAGCATTGA